ACCAGTCCCCACCCCCAAAAAAAAATTAAGTTTGTTTTTAAAAAATATTTTCAATTTCAAAAATTATTTTTTACTCTAGTTAAAATAAAAGATATTTCTCAAAAATATTTTTTCATTTATAAATCAAACACTAAAAGTCTTTTTCGAAAAATATTTTCTACTCACCAACCAAACATGAGAAAATAAGTCAAAAATCAACTTGTTTTCTAGGAAAACATTTTCCATGGAAGACATTTTCCTTCATACCAAACACACCCTAAGCATTCTATCCAGACCCCCTAGTGTGCTAGGGATCTTACCATTAAATTCATTTTTTGACAGATCAACTAGTGTTGCAACCTTTAAATTTCCAATCTCTATAGGAACTTTCCCACTTAATAAATTTGAGGAAACATTGAATTCTATGAGATCTTGAAGGCTCCCCAAGCTTGAAGGTAAGGTCCAGTTCAGCCTGTTGTTAGCTAGATAAAGATACCTTAAACTGGTAACGTTCCCTAAGCATGGCGGTATAGAACCAGAAAACTGATTTTGTGACAAATCTAATAATCCAAGATTCTTTAAATTGCAGATAGCATCTGGTATGGTTCCTACTAACTTGTTGCCACCTAAGTTAAGTTCTTGAAGGTTCGGCAAGCCTTGGATGGTATTTGGAATATGACCAGTGAACTCATTATTATCCAGATTCATTATTGCCACCATAGTAAGATTACCAATTTCTTCTGGAATGGTTCCCTTCATTTTACAATTCGATCCATCAAAAATTTGCAGCGAGTCAGAGAAATTCCCAACTGATGCAGGAAAAACTCCATCTAGTGGATTCCAACCAAATCTAATTACTCTTAGTTTCCTACAGTTTGTCAAAGACACAAGGAAGCTCAATGTCGAATCGCTGGAAAAATAATTTGCCGCCAAGTCCAGAAGCTCAAGGTATTCTAAGTTACCAAGTGATTCAGGAATTGGACCTGTGAAACTATTGATTCCGAGATCAAGTCCATTGAGTCTTGTAAAATTTGAGATAGAAGCAGGGATAAAACCACTCATATAATTATCTGCACAGTTAAATTTTTCTATGAGGGGGCATTCCATGGCCTAATTCTGAAGGTAGAGTACCTGAAAGACTGTTTGCTTCAAGTGCTAAGTTCTGTAGTGCTGACATGTTGAAAATGCTTGCAGGGACTGAACCAGTAAACTCACTGTGGTATAATGACAGCACTTGTAGGTTCTTCAGATTACCTAGCTCCGCTGGTATCTCTCCTGTCAATGGAAAAAATGTATGAGTAACATTTGGTGGAAGAGATAAAAAGGAAGAAAATTCCAGATTTCTAGCAAGTAAATATAGTACTACCGTGTTGTGAATCATGGACTCGTAAGGGCCTATTAGATAGAATTGGTGAAGGGGACTGATTCAGTTGGGATTATTAGTGCCGAGTAAAATGTTGGAGAGTTTTATTTGGGATCCAGGCCCAATTAGCAGGTGTTAGAAAGAAGAGTCCTATGCTAATTATGTTGAAGCTTTGTTGCTCCAATTAGTATTGTTCACTATTACTTTGTTGCTCCAATTCTTAGTTGTAATTTGGATTCACTAAGTGTAATATACATTAATATTGTGTTGAGAAATACAGGACGTTACATACCTCCTTAAGTGTTGTCCTCCAAGATATAATGCAGTAAGAGATGTTAAGTTGGCTAACTCTCTTGGTACAGTTCCACTGAACTCATTGATAGACAATGAAAGGATTTGAAGTTTTCTGCATTTCTCCAAGGTTGGTGGAATAACACCATCGAGGTAATTTCTTGAGAGGTAAAGCCCTACCAAGTTTGGAAGATGGTCACATATAGTCATTGGAAGCTCACCAGTTAGATTGTTGTTGGCCAGAGCAATGACTTGCATGGTTGTAATGTTAAATATTGATGGTGGTATAGAGCCAGTCAGCTGGTTGAGTGACAAATATAAGAAAGTCATGTAACGAAGATCACCGAGCTCTTGAGGGATCGCTCCAACTAGAAAATTTCCCTTTATGCCCAACACTTGCAGCTTTGTTATATTAGAAAGGGAAGATGGAACTTCCCCAAAAAACTGGTTGTCTGAAAGGAGAACAATTCGAAGGTTAGGCAACAAACTTAAAAATGATGGAATGTCACCAGTGAAGTTATTGCTTGTGACCAGTGAAGTTATTGCTTGTGACATTAATCAGTTTCAACCTCTGCAAATGAGCCAACTCTTCTGGCAATTCTCCATAGAAAGTGTTGTCACTAATGTCGAGGGAGACAAGAAATAAGAGGTGTCCAAGGTATGGAGGAATGGTACCATGAAGTTGCATGCTAGAAATGTCTAAAGCTGTGATTCTTGGTGGCGGGAGTTGCAAGTGATTCCAATCCAGGTGCAAACAGGACTGTAAGAAGACCAGTTGGTTGCTAAGATGTTGTTAGGACTAAAAGAAATGTGAGATTTGAAGGCAAGAAGAGCAGCTTCATCATTACTAATATTTGGAACAGTAGACAGAGATATATGGACATTAATTAGCAGAAAGAAAACTGCAAGAGCGAAGAGAAGATCGCAACTTCTTCCCATAACTATAACTGACAGGTATCTCTTTTTCCTAAAACAAGAATTGGTGTGGCAAGTCAATGATCTATATGTATCTAATGATATCAAAATTCATTGGATAGCAACGTACACTAGTTAGTGTCTAGAGTGTTTTATGATTAAGACTTCAGAGTGTCAATTTTTAGTACTACAAGTTGACTTTGTGAGACTCTGTCAACAATCCACTCATACTACAACAAAAGAGATATTTTCCTTTTAGCGGAAATTGAGTTAATGTCATTGCATCTAGGGTTATATATAGTGCTGGTTATACATATCATATTTATTATTGCCGCTAAATATAACATAACGGTTATTATATTATTATCGCTAAATCCTTTATTTGCTGTAGTGTCACAGTATTTTCTTTTTGCTAGTTTCTGTCACTTGCATCCCACCCACCCACTACCCAAAGTCAAAATCGTATATCAGATTGTCTATTTACCTATGTGTTTTTGTTTGGTAAAGAGAGAATGGAAGAAAGTCACAATAAGTTTGGCAGCAACAAAACACCTCCAATATTGTCTTTGTTGGGTTCTTGTTTCATAAATATGAAGGCAGTATTTTTTTTCTTCTTTTAGTTTTACTTCTTTGCTTACCAATAGTATAATAATTTCCTTAAGATTGTTGTTCATCTTGTATTCCTAAGATACTTAGAACAAATTTTTTGAAGAACTTGATAAGAAACAACAAAGTTTAAAGAGCATATTCAAAACTAGAAAATTAAAACCAATAGAGAAAATAGAATTGGAAATAGATTAGAAACAATATATAAAATATTTTTCTTGAAGAAAATTGAGCCCACTGAATGCAAAGTCTCCCTTAAGGAAATTATTCCCCTCAAGTACCCAAGGTTAATGGAATATATCCTCCCTGGATAGAACGATCTTACTCACCGGTGTATTGGTACCTAAAATCACGGTGTCAGCGAACCACTCAACGGCAGTAAAGTACATTTAGAATACTAGAGTTAGTAGTAGTAGAAGAAGTCCAGAAAATTGGTTGTATTAAAATGAGAGGAAATCCCTCTTTATAGACAACAAAGGGTAGTGTGAACAGATGCTTATTGTGCCTTATCGGAAAGGTCACACCCCTTTGACAAGTTACAACCCTTCGGAAATGTCACAAAATTTTCATAAAAGTCACAACTTTTCATTAAAATCACAACTCTTCATAAAAGTCGCAACTCTTTATTTTTCATTCACACCTTTCAAAAACCCAACAGTATTTGTAAGACTGAGAATGTGTTTGGTATGAAGGAAAGTGTTTTCCATGGAAAATGTTTTCTTGGAAAACAAGTGGATTTCTAACTTATTTTCTCATGTCTGGTTGGTGAGTAGAAAATATTTTCTGGAAAATATTTTTTAATGTTTGGTTGGTGAATGAAAAATATTTTTCAGAAAATATCTTTTATTTTTGGCTTGAACCTAAAAAATACTCATTAGGAAAATAATTTTTTATCCGAAAATCGACCCTTATAATTGATCTAGGATCTGACCCCAACACCCAAACTAGGACAAGATCTTGATGACCGTTCCAAAATCCGACCCTGAGATCTGACCCAGGAATTTTTTTTCCAAAAACAAAAAAATTTGGGGTGAGGGGGTGGCATAAAAAATGATTTATTTTGAAATTTGAAATATTTTTCAAAAACAATTTTTAAAAAAATAAAAAAAATGATTGGGGCAAGCGCG